CAAGTGCATAATTACGTTTCAGGGGAAGCTTGCTCTTTCCACTTTGCGTAGAGCTGGAGCAGGCAGTGGTTACCATAGCAACAGTGGGAAAGCTAAATATAGCATCTTACACTGTACTGCTTAAAGTAGAACGATGATGAAGTGTTAGGGTGTGTTGGGCAGGTCACCTCTATGTATTCATGTTAATCAGGTGTCTTCAGCAAATGGTTGGAGCTAGTGTCCAAGTTCAGTTTTTCTAGTCAACACCTTCTGTGTTCAAATATCTCCTTTAAAAAAAATTGTTTCTGTGATGCCCATTAGAAATAAAACTGTAAATAAGAGATGACTGGAAACTATTTCCACCTCTAGGTCACCTGCAATCTGTGGGAATTAAATGCGAGTTTCTTGAGATCAGGGTAATATTTCATCTTTGGCAGTACCAAGCATTTTGTCAGTACTAAACAAAAGTAGTCATGTATGTGGTTCTGGACCTGTTGCTTAAAGGCTAATTTCTGACCTGTGGATTTCCATCAGGTCTCCCATACTGACTCAGTCCAATGGTCCACCTAGTTCAGTCTCTAACAATCATTGCCAGGTGGTAGCCCTTCAGGAAGCTTTTCACCTATTTTGTGTTATAGGCTGACTTCTGCCCTGAAACTTGTTTGTATTTATCTTTTTCCCCCCAAAATCTTTCATTGTTTTGTCTTGTGTTTTTTTTTCTTTTAATATTTACTGTCTTTACCCATGTAAGTTTCTAATCCGTTTTTAAATCCTGCTTAAGTTCCTGGCCTCAATGAAATCTTTTTACAATTACTTCTGTAGCCTGTACATGGAAAAGGTATTTCCTTTTATCAGTTTTAAATTCACAGTCCTTCATTTTAATCACGTGATCTTGGTTTTGTATTTTGAGAGAGTGAATGTAAGATCGCATCTCTTTCCTGTGCCATTCGTTAGTCTGTATATATTTATCATGGTCTCTGATTAGTCTAGGTCAGTTCACCTCATGTATGGGCTTGTTTCCGTTCTCGGTATTTCTATAACTTTGAAACATCATGACCGCAAAGAATTGAATGTAGCAGTCCACATCACAGCATACCATTAACTTAAGAATCCCCTGCATTCAGAAGCTTGTCCATGGCCATCCCAGCCAGCAGAAGATATCACACACACAAATCCTTGCCTCTTGCATATACTTTGTATATTCTGCATCGTTATCCTTCCCTTTGCTTAGCTTCTTAATAATATATTTCCTTGATGATTGGTATGGATAAGCAGGAGTCCTCCATGAGGTGGCGTCAGTGATGTTCATGTCCTTCAGCTGAGTTGTTGGTTGATGCGTTGTTAGTTGAGCATATTTTCCTCACTATGTATTACTTGTCTCGCCAGTACTGACTTCCGTTTACCATTTTGCAGCCCAGTCACATAACATTGTTGGGTCCCTGTTAGGTTTTATCTACTATTTTCTAGTCTGAGCAGTTTCTAATTTTGTCATCGACAAACTCTACCATCTCATTGCTTGTCCCATTTTGAGCTTATGAATAAATATAATGAATGCCAACAGCCTTGCTGTGAAATACTTTTAATGTGCACTCTTACCCTTTTGAGAAAATGGAACTTAGCCTATTATTCCAACTTTTTTATTTTGCTTAGCTAGTTTCTGAACTATGTTAACACTGTACTTGCATTACAGTTTTTCCCTGTAGTCTCTTTTGAGGGCCTTTGACAAGTCTTTTAAAAAGTGCAAATGAACAGTGTGAATTAATTGTCCTTTTTTGCCACGTTTTGGACTGTTGTAAGAATTCTAGAAATGACATGAATCATGATTTTTGCTTTGCTGAAGGTATGCCAGTTAGGCCCTATTATGTCATGATCAGCTACAAGTTTTATATATCAATTTTTAGTTATTTCAATCAAAGTACTGAATATTTTAATACTTTGTTATATAGCTTATGTTATTTGGGTCCCTCAAATGCATTACATAGCCTAACTGTCACAACCCTCTTCAGGGCACTAAGCATTTATCCCTATTTTTCAGACAAGAGACTTGCTCAAGGTCCAGTGATGAGTGGCCGTCTGAAATAAGACTAGGAAATACAGAAATGTCATTTCCTCCTCTATTAGCCAATGTTCCCAATGAATTGGCAAACTTTGCTAGGTTCATTTGGTCCTCACAGAAACTGCTGTAATTGACTTTGCAAAGCAGAATGAAATGTTAGGAGGCCATCAGCTCAAATAAGGAGCTGTATTTAATTCATTCTGGTTGCAGTCCTTTCCTCGGCTTTCTAATCTGGGGAAATGGAAATCCAGGCCTTATCCTTCAGAAAGCGTAGTCTAGAATGTGGTTGTTCAGTTAGCAGCCAATGAGCCCCATCTGGCCCACAAGGGGTTAATTCTAGAGGTGCACCTGCACATTGGATCGGCACCAGTAGAAGGATAAATGAGATTATTGGCAAGTGGCTTTTTTTGTGTAGCCGATGTAGCCTCTGATGAATGCCATGCGCAGCTGCAACATGCACACAGCCAAGAACGCAGCCTGGCAGCTTGGAGAGCAGCGCCTGGCCAATAAGTCTGTAGTGGGGGAAGGGGTAGATCAAAGCCCCCACAGTGAAGGCAGGAGTAGGGCAAGGGTAAGTGCAACGGGTGGGGTGGAGCAGGGTATGGGACAGAACAGGCAGCTCGTCAGGGTGGGATGGGAAGGGGGGAGCAGCTACCCATCTCTGTGCATGCCCCCAGGGAAGGCATGAGGGGGGTATGTCCTCCAGATTCATGTGCAGAATGAGGGTGGGCTGCCTGCTGTGGGCTCGGGACCAGGGGCACTGCTTCAGCCTCTACCCGGCAGTGGCCTGGGGTGGGGCTGTTTTTGGGGGGGGGCAGTGGTGGAGCTAGTAGGGGGGATACTGGGTCAAATACAGCC